ATTAGTCCTTGTTTTTCTGAAAATAGCCACCAGTGGGGTTAAAGGAAGGCTTAGCCTTTCGGCTGCCCAGCTCAAGGAGATAAACAGCATTGTTGTGTGTTGGGGGTAAGAAGAGAGACTGCAGGGAAGAACATGTTCAGACTGAACGGTACTGTACAGTTTGAAAACTTTGGGCTTTAGTATACATAGTGTCAGGCTTAATTTGCAATTTCCTTTCTCACATACCTTAAAACAAGACCTTAATACAAATATAACATACAGATTTTATATATAGCTTGTCTTCACCTAACCTAGACCTTTATATTTATTTTTCATGTATTATTTTTCATCTAATTAGTTTAGTTATTCAACTAAATCTGGCTGCAGGTGAAAAGGCAACTTGCTTCAGAGCCATAAAACTATGCGTGTTTTTGGTGTGACTAGAGTTTTCCGAAGTCTGCTGTAATCCCATCATTTGTGACATACTTCATCAGGTTAATAATTCATTTCTATTTTATGAGAGATCTGATGATTACAGTAAAATTTAAATATGTGAAACATAAATGTCCTAACACGGTATCCTTTCATTGTTTCTTTACATTAATCTAATTTCCACCCTCACCTAATTCTGTAACGATTCTAATTGAAATCTGCAAGGGCTAGTTAAAATGTAGGCTCAAGTGAAAAAGGATTTAAGTGAGTTCTTAATGGAACCCAGAGACCTGCCAAATTTAAAGGCTGCCTAATTCCTATCCAGGTTATTAAAGATTTTCAACAGGGACAAGGTGCAGCCCAGAATCTCAGCAGATCTTACTGAGGGCCATGATAGCCTGGTCAAGTTTTGGTTTAATTTTTTGTGTTTATTTGTTTTATATTTTTTCACAGAGCATGCAAAAACAAACAAAACAAAAGTTCCTCTTATTAGTATTCTAAAACACACTTTCACCCAGCCAGGTTATATACTTCAGATATTTTATAGTGTATCTCTATTTTGCGTAACAACCATCAGAGTGTATAATCAATAACAAAAACTGATTAAAATAGGAGGTTTGGAAAAGTCTTACCGAAAGTGTCCATGCTGAATTAATCAATATACTCTCTACTTGTGAAGTCACTGGGTTTTAGAAAAGTAAGATTCTAAACCTCAAAAAAAAGTGAAAGGCAAAATTGTTACCTCAATTCTCTGCCTCAGTTAAAGTTCCAGTTTGACATAAGGAAAGCTTAACAGTGGCTAGACTGAAACAAAAAAACAATACACAAAAAGATGAAAGGGCGTATTTTTCTAATCACATACTTCCAAGCTCCCACAGGTTTAAAAGTACTTACCATTTTCTCCAATTTTGGCTTTATACTTTTTCTCTGGAAAGATTTTAATGGCAAGGTACCGAAGGCCCCTTCCTTGACAAACAACAATATCATGCCAGGATTCTTTGACCAATTTCTCACTGAAAAATCTTAGAGTGAAAGTCTGAGGAAATCTCTGCCCAGAAAGGAATATTACTCTGGAAATATTTTTTCTATAAAGTTTCACAGTGTAACATACAAATAAGGGAAAACTCTTCAATCAAGACATTGCAGTCATGGAAGGCGCAATATTAAAGAGTGATTGTAAAACAGAGGTGACATTTTGGGTCCCTTTTCTGGTGTCACTACACTGAGTAGCTAGCCTATCACTTTGCAAGAGCGTGTAAGACTCAGTGACTGTCAGGTCAGACCACTAGCCATGAAGACACGGCCCCACATCCATCACCTGGAGGAAATCAGGAGGGGCCCCAAGAAGTCAAAACAATGGAACTAAGAGAACTTGTCTCATTGGCTTCTTTTTCCAGCCATCTGCATGCGACTCTGCTACTGTCAAAACAATTTCTCCTGGCAGACTCTCATATTTTCTTATCCTTGCAACAATGATCTCACTATTACTGACCCATCATAATGAGAAGAAAGCCTGCTTCCAACCATGGTTCCCAACAGAGGTGATGAGTTTGTGCAGCTCCATCCGTATTCTCCCAGGCTCCCTTGTTACTGGCTGAAGGAGAAAAGGCGTAGGCAATGGCCAAGAATAATTGGCTGCTCTGGAGGTCAAACCTGTAGCCCTAATGGGATGCACAATACCTAACCCCTCTGAAAGAGGGAAAGAGCCCCTCAGAGAATCGACCTCAAGGCAGCAGTAATAAAAATCAGTTGTCAAGGAAGTTGAAAAATTGGAGAGATGAGCACAAATGACTAGGCCTCTATATGGAGAGTCTTTGGGGGAAAACATGGCTATTAAACAAATCATAAAACAGAGTATATAATAGTTCTGCAAATAGGATGGTCTTTGCTTTCAAAAATTAGTCAAGATTTAAAGTAATTTTATAACACACACATGAGCTCCCAAAATGCCTTTGCCAACTAACAGCAGGTAGGAAACTTTTCTAATTACAGAAGTAGTAAGGAATCTAAAAGCTACCTTTTTAAACTAAACTGCTAGAGCTATTTTTTATGTTTTAATGTTTGTATTTCCTGCAAACAAGAGTTTGGTCCTGAGTTTTCTTTTGGAATTGCCAGCGTTCTCTGCTTGGTGATCTCAGCATGGCTGAAATGGACCTTGAAGGTTATGCATTTCACCCTCTTCACTTCACACATGAAAAGAACAAAGAGCCGCACAGTCTGATGCACAAGGGCCAGGAGGCACACAAGCGTCTGCTTCTTGTTTGTTTGGTTGGTTTTTTGTACCGGGGTCGAACTCGGGTCCTTGCACTTTCGAGGCAGGCGGCAGCACCACTGAGCTAAATCCCGGCCAAGTGTGTGCTTTCTAAGATGATGCTCCTTGCCCCCAGCAAGCCTACTCCACTGCATTACAGCTCCATTTCTCTAACAAAAGAGAGTGAAAAGGAGGCAGAAAAGGGCACCCACCCTTCTGCCCAGACCACCACGAGAATGTCACGTGATCCTCTTACAGTCTTTGTGTCTATGATCCCAGATAGAGCCATACTTGTCCACTCCGTTTAAAGGAAAGAATATGTGGTGGTTTGTTTGAGAAATATAAGCAGCCTCAAATGGATTCTGGAAGTTTTACTTTATAAATCATGTCTTAAATTAAAAATTGAATGGTGTCTGAGGATCCGTGACCCTTCAACACAGTTACCCTCCCACCCTTTCCAATGTTTCTGAGAACAAGAAAGTCACGAAGAGCTGGCAAATGCATTCTTGTATTACTCTGTAGCCTTGGCCCCAAGCCCTGCGACAGTTCCACTCACATCAAGGTCAGCAAAGGTTGCATAGGCTCTGGTCCTTCTATGTATTCCCCTAGTCCAGCCTGCAGTCTCCTCTTCCTCTTATCGCTCTGCTGACAAAGTTTAGCCAAGGAAATGTACCAAGGGGAAGGAAGGCCTAGAAAGGTCTAAAACAAGGCCACAACAAGCCCAGACCTTGACTTCATTCTCCAATTACAGCAAAGACCCACAGCCTCATACCATGGGCCAAAAAATACCTTTGACCTTGGTTCACTCTTATCAGAATTCCTCATCTTGATTGGGTGCTAGGGGAGACAAAGCAAACACAGAAACTAACATTTGCACCAAAGTCAACCCCAATTTAACACTGTAGTGTAGACCCACTCTGAGACCGGATTTAAATAGAAGCCTGCACGTCAGACACCCAGCACCAGCTCCATCATGATTCTGATTGATTGAAATGACCCCTCCACCACCTTCAAATAGTCATTTGCTTTTGTTCAGGCATAAAAGATGAAGAGTAGCTATCTTCTTCTAAACACATAATAAAATCCTATATCTGATTTGGGAAATAAACTTTCTTTTAGTTTCCTGAGCCCTACATATCCATTTGGGCATGTGAAAAGAAATGTAGTCCAAATCATTGGGGGAAAGAAATGTTGTGAAACCACTGAAAGCAAATCAACATCAATAATGTTACGGCTTATATTTAGATTCCTCTGAGATCTTCATGTGCTCATAGACACAGTTTTTGGAAAGTGATTGGATTATAGGGGCTGATAGCTGACTTGCAGTTGAGATCTTGGGCCTAGTTACAGGGAAGTTACTGTGGGTATAACCTTGAAGCCTGCCTCCTTTCCTGGCTCCTCCCTTTACTTTCTGCTTCCTTGCTTCCCTGATGTGAGCGGCTTTGCCCTACTGTGCCATTCTACCATGGTGTTTCTGCTTTGGAGCCAGCCAACTATGAACTGAGTTATGAGCTAAAATAAAGTTCTCCTCCTTTAAGTTGTGAGTGTCGGGAAAGTGACTAAGACAATCAACAACAAAAGCCCCTCATTCCTTCCCTTGAACTGCAGTCCCACACTTACTCTGAAGCCTCCTCTGTTAGCATCAGTGCATCTCAGCCTATGTCCCTCCCACTGGGGTTCACACTCTATGATATCATGATAGGATAAGCAATGAACACAACTAACGGTGTCAAAGCCAGTTAGTCCAGGGAGCCTTTGGCCAGGTTCTGTCCTTCCCTCTCTCACACTTACTTCCTGGAAACCTTTCCACTCATGCCCTGATCCACTTGGTGGAAAGTTTCGGGGGAAAAACTGGACAGCACAGTGTGAAGTCAGGTGCCTCTTTGCTTGGCAAGAAGGAAAGCCAACCTGTAAATACTCTAGTGTTGCCCATTTTCTGTACAGAGAGAGTGATTTATCACTTGAAATTTTTGAACATTCAAGAGTGAAAGTGTTTTGGTCTAGGTTCTGAGTTTAGGGGTGTCTCAGGGTGGGTATGTGGCCCACTAACTGCTTCTGCCATCTGGGAGACAGGGTGACTTCAGTGAAATGCGTTCTCAGGTTGGCAATATTTTGTATGTTGCAAATTCAGAAAAGCAAAGGAAATTTAACTATTTGATTTTACATTAATGCGAAGTAATGAGTCAGTGCATGTAACACAATCTGGATATTATTTGGAAGGGCTGAATCTGGTCACTCTACATAAGGAATTGTCTATTCCCTGTTTGTGCACTGACTATGATGGCTCAGAGAGGTGTGATCTAACAAACTTTTGCAGTCCTTGAGATACAGCACTTACGCTAAAACCACCAAGATGCTCCTCGCAGAGAGCTCCAACACCTCTCCTCACTTTGACAATAGGCTCTTTTACCCTTCTGCAACTTGGCTGCCCAATGAAAGCTAAATGGTAGCACAGAGAACTAGACCTCAATTTCCTGGCTTTTGTGCCTTTCTTCCCAATTTCCCTTGGTTGTACAATTCCACATACACTTTTGGTGTGCCTCCTCAGCTCTAACCATGTTATTAAACTATTATTACCTAACAATATCCACATTAATCACCGTGACAGATGGAAACTAGCCCTGGTCATGTTCTCTGAACTGAATGTCAAATAATCCCAATGCTAATGGGGATGACGCCAGCCAGGAATTAGCCCTAAAAGCTTCTGTTTATCCCTCCACTCCTTTCCTATTACTCTTCATTGCAATGCCTTTTTTCTTGTCATGAGACTCCATGCTTCTACATGGAGCAATTCCTCAAGGAATTATGGGAAATGGTTTTCTGTTGACAGACATCATATAATGAAGATAAACGATGGACGAGTCTGAGGTCTTAAATCTGTAATTCCCCTAGCAGTGCACTTCCAAATACATGGAGCATTTCTACAGGCTTAGGCAGCAGCAAGCTTCAAACCTGGAAAAAATTCCCCATTCAATCTCCTTTCTCAGACTAGGGAAAAGAAGTGGTATTACACAAAAAATGTAAATCACTGTGAGGTAATACACCCCAAGTGATCCCTTAGAAGTGTTGAGGGCATATAAACAGTTCCTTTACAAAAGCGCTTTGCTCTGGCTTTGCAGTGAATAGGAATGCTGGGTTCTCTTTGCTCTTCCTGAATAAATTCCAGGTGGATAAAGAGTTTCACATAATGGTGAATGTCTTCTTCTAAAAAGATGGATATTTTTTAAAACTCAGTCATGCAATAGTGCTCTTTTAGCTAAAGCTGCTTGTTATCCTATCCCTTAAAAAGCTATTAGATGTGGGCTGGGGATTTAGCTCAGTGGTTTCGCTGCCTGCTTTGCAAGTGCAAGGACCCGAGTTCAATCCCCGGTACCAAAGAAAAAAAGCTATTAGATGTGTAACTTCACACAACTAACAAGTTATTAAAAGAAGGGAAAAATATAAGAGGCCAGCCCTGAGAACTGTAGAGGAATGAATAACTCGTTACCTGCTATTTCCACTGAAGGATGCTAAAAACCTTTCAAAAGGTTTTTCATGGACTTGTTAGCTGAAGATGTGCTACTCCGCTGATCCTATTAAGGGACAACAAGCATCAGCATCAGAAAGGAGAATAGGCCAAAAGCTGCTGCTGCTTTTGCCATCGACATCACTATTGCTATCTCAGGATTGACTGAGTCACTAAGCACCCACATCCAAACACAGCCTCCAAGTCTAATATGGCAGCCACTGGCCAGTTTTAAATTTTAATTAGTTAAAATTAAATCAAAAATTCAGTTTCTCACTTATAGTAGCCGCACTGTAAGTGTGCAATCGGAATGTGTGACTGCAGCTGCCATATTGAACAGTGAGAATGACAGAACATTTTCTTTTTTTTTTTTTTTCTGGTACCGGGGATCGAACTTGGGTCCTTGCACTTGCACAGCAGGCGGCGAAACCACTGAACTAAATCCCCGGCCCTGATAGAACATTTTCATCAGCTCCATTGGACAGCACTGGCATAGAGAAGTCATGCGTTTATCTGCTGAATAACTACTTATTGATACACTGGTCACCAAAACAGTGTGTGCACTCAAGGAATTTACATGCTATAAGGGGGCAGCAGAAAACAAAAACACTAAGCAAAGGAGATTGTTCTGCCAGCATCCATGGGCTGCAGGGTTGGGTGGACAATGCCTAGCTGGGGGCAGAGTACAGTGGAGGCTGGAGTGCATCAGGTGGCCACCGATCTTCCTCTATGGTGACACTAAATGCCAAGAAAGATGCAGCCATGAGAGCCCAGGGACAAGCGGCTCCATCTGAGGCAGGAGGAAGTGCTCAAGTCCTGTTGTGGGTCCCACCTGGGGCACCCAAGCGGCTGGAAGACAGCAGCTGGCTGGCAGGGCCAGGAGGTGACAGCTCTCTCAGCATAGACCAGGCCCAGGGGCCCCTGTCACTCATGACAGAAGGTTCAGACTTCATTCTTCACTCCTGAAAGTTCTCAATTTGGGAAAAAATAAGCTTCGAGAAAACATTCGTTCTCTTGATCTCTCACCCAAAGCAACTGCGATGAGGAGCACAGCCTGGCTTTGCAGGCAGCTGCTGCTAGGAACAGGCAGACCTCAGGCTTCCTCAGGTGTGCTCTGAGCGGCAGCCTCCAACAGCTCGTAGGGGCTACAGAGACAGTTTGTGGAGGGTGGGCAGCTAGGGAAGAAGAGACCTCACCTGCTGAAAAGCAGTGATTGGCCTCAAAGCAAACCCACCCCCCCAGCTCAGAGCCTGAGGCGGTAGAGGAATCGGGCCACCCAAATAAGCAGCAGGCTCACTCTCTCCATCTATGAGCTTCTGCTCAGGTTAGTAACAGACTGAAAGATCAACTCCTGTGCCTATTGACAGAGGGGTATTTGTCAAATCTCCCTTTTACAGATGAGGAAATTGAGGCTCAGAGGAAGTAAATTACCTTTCAGCGCCATGCAGCGAATGATTTTCTACTGTCATCTAGATTAAGTTAGCCATTTTTAAATGATATACGATCGGTTTGATTCATAAAATGATTCACTTACACATTAGAGATGAAATGGATTGTTCACCCGCTTGAAAGGAAATAGCCAGCATTCCAGGAGGCTGAGACAGGAAAATCCCAAGTTTGAACCCAGCCTGGGGAATTTAGCAACTTTAGAGAGACCCCGTCTCAAAATAAAAAATTAGGGCTGGGGAAGTAGCTCAATGAGAAGGAAAGCCCTGGGTTCAATATATATCTGCCTGGCTTTTCTTAAAAGTCCTTTAGCTAGAATAGTACTGTCCTGCTTTTTTGGATCGAGAGGTAACCAAAAAGGGTAACCTGACAATGCAGGTAAAGATGCAAACAGAGTAGAAGCCAAGAAGACCCCTGAATGTCACAAGAAATCTCAAGGGGCCCAGGAGCCGCTAAGACAGCAGGAAGACGGTGGTGATCCCCATGAGAATCCTCCTCACACTGGCTGTCAGTCTCTAAGTCCCAGTGACAGAGGAGCAGAGTCCCGCAGAGCTGAGTTCCGCCCTTGTTCCTCTTTTTCTCCCCTCATCCAATCAAACAATCAAACCTCAGTGCTGCCCTCATTTTCCTTTCCAGCAGAGGGACGGATTAGTTGCCCTACCGTTCAACTTTTAGTACATTACTTATGCTGGCTATTTTTTCAACCATTTCACACAGAACTCTCAGGTTTGAAATTACAGAAACCTAAAGTAAACACTTTTTTTTATCCTTTTAAGAAATCTTGTTCTAATTAGGTGGTTCATTTTTATGACCAGATGCTAAGTTGGAAAGTTTTATTTTCTCCTCCCCCACCCCTTGTAAGAATGAGATGTGCCAAAAATTACAAGTTCTGATTTTTTGGAACATTTTCAGTGTCAGCAACCCTGTAATGTTTGTTACCTAGCTAATGTTTGTGGACAGTGAACACAAAGAGGATGTGGAAGGAACATGGCTGATGACTTATGTGACAAAACCTAAATGCCAGGAGCCCTATCTTTCTGGCTCTGTTTGATTGTGATATAAGACACTTATGTCTCCAGATTTCTGGTCTCTTTCACTAGAATGAAGAAGATACCACTAGTATCCTGGCTAGTTACTAGGATGAAGTAAATGCACAACACACAAATCAGGCTCTTAGGTCATCAACTAGACAAACACTTCAAGATGAATTAACGCTGGTTTCCCATTTTTTGTGAAATATATCTTCCACGCAAGACTTTAGGGACTCAAACGATGGCCTAAATTACAGACTAGGATAGTTATAGATTGTGAGTGGAGGAAGATAACGTATTGGTTGCCAAATCTCTCCAGGGAAGGACGCAAGGCTACACAGAACCAGACTGGATCCCATACCAGGGCTGAGCCCTGTGACGTAGGACAGCTGCCCACTGGTTAAGAACAGCCCCAAAGTGGAATCAACCTCTCAGTTCAGTCAGGCCAGGCAGACGTGCGCAATATCAGACCCAAAATCCGAATTGCCAGGGACAGCAGACCCCCACACGTAAATCTAAATAGACTGTAGCTACAAAATCTGGACTAACATAGAATATCCCACAAATTACCCAACCAAATCTGACAGAGGACAATATCACTGAGATTTTTGAAATAGTGAAAGGAACATAAATTACCCTGCTAGAAGTAAACTTTATTCACAACCATTCATTATTTTTTTAAATGATTACAGAATGTACTTTATAATAAGTACAGTAAAAATTACAATTCAAGGCTGAAATGACAGGACCCTAAAGTGAATAAGAAATAATTGTGTCAAGAGTATCTGGTGCTGGGCCGGGGATTTAGCCCAGTGGTTCCGTCGCTTGCCTTGGAAGTGCAAGGACCCAAGTTCGATCCCCGGTACCAAAAAAAAGAGTATCTGGTGCTGATAATCCTAAATTAAAATATATAAGCATGATGAGCAACTGTCATAATAATACATCTTCCATCACTGACTATTTCACCAAAATCGTTCATGTTGCAAGCTCTAAATGTCTAGACAAAGAAAGGAAATCCCTCCTACTTCCAAAGTCAGTGTTTTCTGCACAGCGTGTGGTTTTATTCACTGTTGCCCCAGGCCTTGTTGGAACACACTTCCCTAACGCATCCAGGGAGCTGTCAGCAGGTAACCCAGTTGCCCTTTCCTCCCCGGGATGCTGTTCCTTGTGGTATTTTGCAATAACTCATAAATAACTCGCCTCACCACTATCTCTGCCCTAAAAAGTAAACTGCATTTTTTCCTGTTTTGGAAAAATCAAAAGTTTTCAAAAAAACATGGTAACCAGATCAAAGAGGCCTGATGGTGTATACAAGCCCAAGAAAGCCACTTGTCTGTGAGTCAGCGTGATGAATGAACAGCTTTGGCAAAGTCTCTTGTCAATGGACACAACAGAACCCAACACAGACATGTCCATCTGTTTAAGTCCTGTGTGTATGTGTGTCTGTGTGTGTACATAGCAAGAAACAATATAACCTTTATAAGCTAATAACACTTAGGAATACTCATTTCCTGGAAATGTTTATGGATGTGTCTATTGAAAACACAGTGAGAGATGCTAGAGAAAGAAAGTCAGGCATGGAACAAGTCCTTCCAACTTTTACGATCCTTCCTTGAGGTAAGTTCACTTTTCGTTTCTTCCTGAGACACTATAGCATCAAGGAGGCTTGGAGAGAGGTGGAAGGTAGATCTGGCTAATGCTGGAATGAGCCAAGATCGGATGCTTTCAAAAAGTGAGTTCCAGTATGAGAATAAACTCTGGGATCAAGTGTTTCAAATCTCCTGCAGCTGAACTCCTCTCTGCTCTCTGCAAACCTCCTCAACACTGCGCATCTGCCAGTCTGCCCTTGGGAAGGGTCAGCCCTGATGGTCCCACGCTCCATGCACTGTGCTCAGTCCCTCTTGGCAGCTCCTCTTCCTACCTTACGTTGACATTCGGCCTCCTCCCTGGGTAAAGAGCTTCAGTCCGGATCCTGTATGTTTCTGTGAGTATTTATTGAGCACATACCATGGTCAGTTACCATATTAGATGCTGTTGTCAGAGCCGTACAGATAAATAAAACATTTTGAGAAGCTAAGAGTCTAAAAAGGGGAGGGAAGCAAGAAAAGAACTGCCATAATGCAAGACAGAAAAAACATTCAAGCAGAGGACAAGAGAAAAATAAGTGACTCATTCCTTCTGAGGTGTATCTGGGTATTCCCTGTGTGGTGAATGGCTGAACCTTGACTGATCAAGAGGATTTCTATGGGAGCAGGAAGAACATTTCAGACTGAAGCAGTGCATCAGCTCCTAGTAAAATGAAGCACCCAGAAATTAGCAGAATCCAGGCAGGGTAGAAAACACTGGAAGGAATGGATAGACTTAGGAAATTTACGGACTGAAGAGGAAATGCCATGCCCAAGACATGAGGAGCCAGCAGCATGACCAGCACATGGTGGAGCCTGCAGAGCGATGGGCCTGGTGTCGAGTTCTGTGCTGAACATACTGAACTTGAGCTGGGGGCTTCTCTTTTACAAGGTTTGGGGGTAGTTCAAATTTTGGAAGTCATTTTCACGGAAATGGGGTTAGACTCAGGTGGGTGAAATCAGAGCCAAAGCAGCCTTTACCTGTTCACTGTTGAGTCCCAAGCAGTTGGAATAATTCCTGGTGCATATGAAATATTCGCTCGATATTTGTTAGATAAATAAAATCTAAAGGGAGAAAGTAAGCAGAGAATGGTTATTAAGGAAGGCTTATGTTTACAGAAGAAGGGTCAATAGAAAAAAGAAAAAATTAATAGAAGAAACATAAGGAGACTAAAATACCTCAGAAACCAATGAATGAGTAAATCTTAAGAAGGAAAAATATATTCGAGTGTTTATTTAGCAAATATTTATTAACACTTCCTCATGCCAGAAACTATTCTGTGTGTTGAGGACACCGCAATAAACGAAACAAACCATGCCCCTGTAGAGCTTTCTAGGTAATAATTAGCAATGCTCAATGTCCACAGCCTCTGGGGATGTTCATAGGGTTCACATAAGCAAATCTTTACTAGATTTGGCAATTACCGCAATGATCAACCTTTAATCACCCCGAAAGGGCAGCCTCCTGGAGCAGCAGCAGTAAGAACCACATGTCCCACACTTGTCTGTTTTTCCCACAAGCCCTCGAGGGTAGAAGTTGACCCCCTCAAACAATATCTAACACTCATACAATATCTAGCAGACCCCGCTTGGCTACATGTACTAATCATTGATAAGCATTTAGGAAACCAGTGTTTGGTGACGAAGCAGTCCAGAGTGAACTTGAACATTAATTGAATCCATTCACTTGCTGTCTGTTAAAAAAAAAAATAGAAAGAACATTCATTACCTTGTAAGTTATATTGCTCAGGTTTTGGTTCAAAGAAATAGAAATGATGTATGTTGGGTTAAGTTTCAGTAGGCAAGTGATACCACTATGTGCAATGTGGAAGAAGGGAATTATTGCAGAGACTGACCTTACACAGTTGTAGAACTGGTAAGGAATTCACCAGAGGACGGTCCCCTCTGTGTGCATCATGGGCCTTAGGTCTGAGTCCTGCCAGCAAGAGAACAGATGGGTGTGCAGTGAGGGAAACCATGTCACTCTCAGCACTCCAGACCTCAATGGGGATGAGCGGAGACTGTCAGCGAATTCAACGCACACCTGGCCTATGATCCAGGAGAACTGAAGGGACCTGGAGGACTGCAGACTCAGTGCCTGCCCCTAACCAACGGAACACCCAGCCGGCCAGCGCAGGGGCAGCAGGAGCCGTGGCTTCCACCAGCCTGCAGAGTGCAACAGCTGCTGCTTCACTGCTGCCTTCCAAATCTCGTGCAAATGTCTTTTGTAATCAGCCCCATATTCATCTGAACCTGAATCCGTGGAGGAAATAATTTCTGGGAAAAAGTTCCAGCTGAGTTGATCCATGCCCAAGCCCCAGGGTCCTCACAGGTCTATGTACCCCTTTTAACCATGCTTAACTTCCAAAGAAAGACAACGACAAAGTCATACCTCCAACTAACATCACAACTCTTGTCCAAAACTCAAACACTGACCACTGTCCCTCAGAAAATATAAAGCCCCTTCACTCCCCTTTTGGTGACCCTCATTTTCTTTCTAGTTGAGTAATCTCCTACTTTAGTGTCCTATAACTTAACTACTGAGATATATATCACGGCAGGGGAATGGAACAGAGGAAGAAAACTGTGTGTCCATGTATTCATATTAAAGAAGACATACCATCATATTACAAGTCTGTTTACTGAAACTAATCATGTGGTCTTAGCTGATACTTGCAACTTCCTTTTTCCATCACCCATTCCATATTCCCTTTGCCTTCAACAGGTACTTCAGCTCAAATATATTTCTTCTTGCCCCTTTTGCTTAGTAGCAGTCCCCCAAAAATCAAAATCATTCTCCCCCCTCCTCCCCACCCCTACTCATTCAGCGGCATAAGGAATCCACATAGTCAGGGGGCAACTTCAACTTCCAGCTTAATGGAACCTCTGCTATGTCCCCTGGTGGAAATCTTCTACCATTGGAAACTATGTCTTCTCTACTAGCAGAACCCAAAATTACTGGAATAGGCACAAGAATCTCAACACTAAAACTCTAGGGTTAACAGTGAATGGAGATACTCCCATTTCCTTTCCTTAATGGACTCAACACATGGATCCTGCTATGGGAAAGAAAACACTGCATATATTGGTTGCTGAGTTGGGGCATATACATGACCATGAAGACATTGTCTCAGCCATCCTAGGTGACCCCAGCCAGCTGGCACCCTAATTGCGTCTTTACAAGACCATTCTACCAGTCTGTCTGGCCAGCTGCTTCAGGGTATCAGGGAAATTGCTAAGACCAGTGAACTGCATGAGCAAGAGCCCACTGCCACACTTCATTGGCTATGAAGTGAGTCCACTGGTCAGAAGTAATACCCCATGAATACCATGAGGATGAATGAGGCTTTTTGAAAGCTCACAGATGGTGATTTTGGCAAAAACAGGGAGGGCCAATCCAAAGTAAGCATATATTACTGAGGGTGTGAGTGTTGCCCCTTCCCCCCTGAAGAGGTCCGATGTGATCAATCTGCCAACAGTGGCTGACTGATCCTCTGGAGAGCTCTGAGATGTTGAAGTCAGAGTGTGGATCAGACAGTGCAGGAATCAGCTATCTACAGCCTATTCCTTTTATGCATGGAGTCGGTATTGCTGAGACTGTACCCCTCTCTAGCTCTGTCACTATTGTGTATCAGCCCACTAAAAGGGGACAAAGGTGTTTAGAGAAATAAACACAGAATTCCAAAGATCCAGTCGTCTTGTCAACTTGATTATTGAGCTCATGTTTATAGATGCTGCTCGCTGGTGAATACTTTTATGAAACACAAATATACTCATACTTTACACTTTGGAGAGGTCTACCTGCAAACCCCTTCCTCAGGCCTCCTTGTCAGTGGTCACCAACTGTGTTCCTTCCGAATCACTGAGAATCCAGCCAAATCACTCGCCCTGTCTATGAGTGAGGACATCTGCTCCTCCAAGCCAAGTGAGCAACCACGTTCCACTTTATGTTCACTACAGTCTTTGAGGGTCACCTACAAGTAGGGGTAGAGTGTTGCCACTGTCCACATTCAAGTGAGGTCATGCCATTGAACAGAACCATCTGAAAACCAGGCCCTGATTTTCTAGCCAGCTTAAGTAGAAGGAGAAGTTTTATAACAAGCTATAAAATGGCTTGCCAAATAAATGGGAAGTTTGAAAAGACAGATTCAAGGCTGAGCTTCCAAGACTGATTCCCAAAAGCCATAACACAGAATCAGGCCACCAAAGAAGCTACTGCCCCTACCGGGACCCAGACACTACCTGGTCCCCTACCAGGACTAGGTGAAATTGGAAGCCATAACTCTAGCCATTGGATACAGAAGCAAGCCAGCTCTGCTACAATCCACTCCAACAAATGGATCTTCTATCTGCTGTTTCTCCATAGCCATAAAACCAGACACAAGGCACTAGTCCTCTGCCACACCTGCTACAGAAAAACTACATGCCTCCATGTCCTCCACTTGACATGAAACAAACAGAAATGTGAGCTGGTTTCATGATGTTTCCTTTTTTTTCATTTTCCAAATCTCATCTAGGTACATCTACTTAACTGAACCTAAATCACATCCAAGACCCTGACTGCAAGGTACTCCTGGAAATGTAGTTTTTAAGCCTCTAAAATTCTATAGAACAGGAAGGGACACAAGAAGAAGGTCGGAGTGCATGTTCTGCGAGCAATTTATACAAGAGTGGTGGCTTCAAAGCGAGGTAACATGAATGTGTTTTAGGCAAAAGAGGAACCAAAGCAGGGAGAGATTTGACACACAAAAGAGAGAAAACTAAGAGTGTAACAAAACTGCTCACTTCGCAGCCAGGATGCAAAAGAGAGGACAGGACGGGAATGGGGCCAGGGTCTCACAATCCCCTTCAGCCCCAGGGGACTTTGATTCTAATTCAAGCAGTCCCTGGACTTACAGGCAGAAAAAGAGAGTGAGCGGTTTACCTGCTGCTGGGCGGCCTTTGAAGCACACAGTACCCCACCCCACACCCACCCCGCCCCATGCCGGAACTGGAAGGCAGAGTCAGTCAGCGCAGCAACACAACAGATGAACGCTGCAGATAACAGTCTTAAGACTCAAGCCGAAAGAGAAAAAGCGCAAGTTCCTCTTTCAACAGAGAGAATTTAATATAGGGAATTGGAAGACCAGGAAAGCAAAGCTAGGCCTTGATGTAACCCCAAAATAGTTCATGCAGGTGGCAGCAACGACGTCATCCACACTGAGAGAACAAAGAGAAGTAATGAGAATTATTAGCTGTTGAAAGCCAGCAGAGCGAGGATCAGAATTTCAGGAAATGTGCAGTATGGCTGGCACCGCTCTCTCCAAAAGGATGAGGAAGAAGCCTATGCAGCTGGAACCCAATTTTTGAGGAAAAGAGCTCCAGCTGTCTAGAACTGATCCCTGAAGTGATTTTGTGAGCCTGAGTGTAAAGGTGAAGTGAAAAAGGAAATGGAACAAGTTATACCGTCAGAAAAAGTGACCATTTCTAGGGCTACATTGGCAGGAACAAGTAGACAGGAAGGAACAAGTCTCCTCTTCCTCCTGCATTCCTGCAGGCTCCTTCTGGTGCCCCCTGTTGGCTGAGCCTAGCAAAGCGCCAGGGGGCAAAGCAGAAAGGCAGTTTGCAGAATTCCAGCCCCTGTATCACAATGCCTGCACCACATAGGCAGGAGGTTCGGGGCTGAGAGTCAACAATTCACTCACAGGATATTGTTGTCACCAAAGGAACACAATGCTAGACCTCCTTAGATGAAGCAGCAGCATGAAAGAGAGAAGAAACACCTTGGACCATGTGTGATAAAGAATCCCTCTGCCTAGACCAGCAACTCTTCTCTTAAACACAACTGCTGCCAGATTTTCAATCCAGTGGTCCAAAGCCATGTACAGCGTTCTAAACCAAAACACTTGGTGATCTTAAGTAACCCTAAGCACAGTGCAGTCTGGATGTGCTATCTAACAGGAAAGCCCAGAGACCCGGGCTCCCTGCCATCTCTCCTGGCCGTTCATTCTTTCCTTTGCTATTGCAACATGCATGGATCCTCAACCCCTAAAAAACTTTTTAAGTTAAAATAAAAGAATAAATAC